GGCCCCCTTCCCCATGACTAGGTGCCCGTGTGTGAATCGTTCTCCTCCAGTGTTCACAGTGGCTTGGCTCATTGTTCAAATTCCCACCTATGAGTGGAGAACATGCAGTATTTGGTTTTCTGTTCTTGCGATAGTTTGCTGAAATGATGGTTTCAGCTGGCAATCATGGTCCTACCAAGAGGACAGCAGGCAACTCATCCCTTTTTAATGGCTGGGCTACGTATTTCCATGGGTGATATGTGCCACATTTTACTTAATCCAGTCTGTCCACCTGATGGACATTTGGGGTTGATCTCCAGTCTTTGCATTGTGAATACGTTGGGCCACCGCAATAAACATACTTGCATAGTGGTCTTTATAGCAGCATGGTTATAATCTTTGGGTATATTTCAGTATGGATGGTGGTCAAATGATTATTTCTATTCTATGGATACTTGAGGGAATCGCATTACTGTTTTCCCACAATGGCTGGACCGAGTTTAACATCCACCAAACAGTGAAAAGTTGGTCCTTTTCTCCACACCTCTCAGCACTGTTGTTTCCTGGGATTTTTAAGTTGATTCACCAATTAACTGGTGTGGAGATGGTATTACTCATCTGGTGGTTTTTGATTTGCATTCTCTGTGGGCCAGAGTGAGTGATGAGGCATTTTTTCAGTGTGGTCTGTTGGGCTGTATGATGTCTCTTTTGGAGAATGTGTTTTCATATCTTGCCACTTTTTGATGGGGTTGTTTTTGTAATTTGAGTACTTTGTAGGGTCTGGATATTAGCCTTTGTCAGATGAGGTAGGATTGCAAAAATTTCTCCATTTCTGTAGGTTGCTTTTCACTCCTGATGGTAGTTTCTTGCTTGTGCGGAAGGCTCTTCGTTAATAGATCCGTATATTCTGTTGATTTGGGGTGGAGAGTTCTGTAGATGTCTTTTAGGTCTGCTTGGTGCTAGAAGTTTCATATTTTGATCTGTAATCCTTAATTTTTGAACATGGTGTGAAATACAGCTCTAAGTTTATCTTTTTTACATATAAATATATTATTATTCTAGCACAATTTGTTTAAAAAGCTAAACTTTATCCATTGTATTGCTTTGAACGTTTATTAGAAATCCAATTTCCATATATTTGTATGTCTGTTTCTGGTTTCTTATTCTATTTTATTGACCTGTATGTCTGCGTTAATGACAGTACCACACTGACTTGATTACTGTAGCTTTATAGTGAGTTTCAATATTGGGCAGTGTATTTCCTACAACATTTTTTTTCTTCAAAGGCATTTTAACTATTCAACGTCCTTTGCTCCTGCCGACGCTCAAAAGCGCTCACCCTGACTCCTGCACCCACTTACCTATGTTCTCCCTCCTTCAAGGGTTGGACCACAGCAGGTCCCACTGTGTGGAGTTTGCCCGTGGTGGCACTGAAGGAGCCAGCTGGTTCCAGTGCTCATGCACTCTGGTTCCCGCCTCATTGACTCACACACTCCCTCCTGCAAGGAGTTGAGAACTGCAAGTTGTGCAAATGAGGCACCCCTGTCGCAAGTCCCATGAAGGGGTCACGGAAATATCCCGCTTCAATATTGCCTTCATTTATGGAAACAATTAAAGTATAAATGGGTATGCCATCACTCAAAATGTGATTGATTTACTATTATTTCCTAAAAAAATGCATGTGTATTTTGCCATATTTTTCAAAGTTCATTGAGAATAAACACTGTATGGTACAGTTTTTTTTAGCAGCCTACAAAGTTTGTAATAATATGGAATGAAAAAGATTTGTGTAATTTTTATTATTCTATACGTGAATTTCAAAAATTTTATTGAATGACATTTGTTGAAACTTACTGGTACTGTGTTCTAACTTATTTGAGTTAATTGAAGTTGAATGTCTCTGGGAATATCTGATTATAAATATTGTGTAAGATTACAGTAGCCACTCCCCCTTATCTACAGCTTTAGTTGCACAGTAACAACCATGGGCGACCACTGTGTGAAAATATTAAACGAAAAGTTCTGGAAATCAACAATTCATAAGATTTAAACTGCATGCTGTTCTGGGTAGCATGATGAAATCTCCCGTCATTCCTTTCTGTCTCACCCAGGACCTGAATCTTTCCAAACGATTACATACTGTATACGCTACCTGTCCATTAGTCACTTTGCCATCTTAGTTATCAGGTTGACTGTTATGCCATTACAGTGCTTTGTTCAAATCACCCTTATTTTACTTCATAATGATCGCAAAGGGCAAGATTAGTGAGGCCATCAATTTGTATATGCCAAAGAGAAGGCAAAAATTCTTTCCTTAAGGAAAAGGGTGAATACTTTTGACTTAATAAGGAAAATATATTAATGCATACATATTCCAAATATATGTAAGAAAAAATGTATATGCATGCTTACAAATGTATGCGTATAATTGTATTTTAATATTTAAATAAACATGTTTATATTTATAAATGTCAACATTTGACAAAATATACATACAAAATATACATACATACATATTTTTCTTAATAAAGAAACTGTTCATTGCTAAGATCTATGGTTAAAACAAATCTTCATGTGCACATGTACCCTAGAACTTAAAGTATAATAATAATAAAAAATAAATTAAAAAAAAGAATTTGGAAAACAAAGCAAAAAAAACACCAAATCTTCAGTCTATAAAGTTGTAAAGAAGAAAGAAATCTGTACTAGTTTTGCTGATGTATCTCGAACTACAAAAGTTAAGACTGCAGTGCATGATAAACGCTTAGTTAAGACAAAAAAGACCGTAAATTTGTAAGTGGAAGACATGAACAGAAAATGTGTTCTGATTAACAGCAACGTGTTGCACCAGAAAACATTTGAACCTGTAGAAATACTTCAGCATGGAATTACCTGAAATGAGTGAGACATTTATTGCAAGTAAGAGATGGTTACACAGATTCAGAAATATGTCTGGACTGAAAAATAGAAAAATTACTAGAGAGGCTGTGTCTGCTGATGAAAAAACAGCTTCCACATTTCCAGCAGAGTTGACATTAATCAGAGAGAAAGGATATCATCCAAAGCCAGTTATCAATTGTAATGAAGTCAGTCTTCTGGAAGAAGACCAATAGAACCTACAGTAATGAAAGTGCAAAGGAGGCGCCAGGGGATAAAACATGGAAGGACAGTTAGTCATTGCTGTTACTGAGCCTAACTGATGAATTAAACTTTATCATAGATATGTATATGTAGGAAAAAACAGTACATTTAGAGCTTGGCGCTATCTATAGTTTCAGGCATCCACTGAGGGTTTTAGAATGTATCCCCCACAAATAAGGAGGGACTACTGCAATGTAGATGAAGCTACTATTCAAGATAACTTAGATTTCTTTAATTAGCTTTATATAAAACAACCTTGTATTTTGCCTTAGAAAATAAATATCCACTTACCAGATTTCTGAAAATTTCCATCATCAATACTACCCCCTGGGGAACCAAACTGGAATTTACAATCTGGAGGTTTATGTCCAGGGAAGCATTGACAATTACCAAAATTATTACATATCTGAAACAGAAAAATACAGAAACAGTCTGAGTCATCTTAGTCTTTGTATCTGATATAAATACCTAAACTTCATAGATTATTTTTTTTCTTAAGATTATTATGACTATAAAATATGAGAAATAGGTTAGAAAAAGTAGTAAAAATTTTCATAACATAATGGCCAGATGGCAAAATACCTACATGAAAGTTTATTTCTGGCCTGAGCATGTTTAATGTCTTCCTCAATCATCTTTAAAAAATAAAATTTAATAAACTTGTAGCCTTCATATTCAGAGAGGTTAAATTTTTTTAATGACTGTTATCTTATTTTGTAATTTGAAAACATTTATTGTCACTATTTGGACATTTTCTATTCATGCACTTCAATGTCTACACAAAGTATTGTGATAAAATAGACATCAATCAACTTGGCCACTTTAATTCCTTATCCTAGTCCCTTTTCAACATTTGACATTATTGGTCAATAATGTGCACCTTATTTTTAAGTAATTATATTTTCCATAATAAAATAACATACGTGCAAAGCAAATATTAAAAATCAACGATCAAATACAACTTTATGATAAGCTTGCATTGCTAGAAGTTAACATTTGACAATGTTTCTGTATTATTCATGCCTTTGTATTAATATTTCAACAGTTTAGTATTTTCATTTTAAAATAAAACAAGTACATATTTTGTAAAATTCAAACAATAAAAGTGTATAGAAATGAAATTCCTTAGCCACTATTTCAGTACCATTTTCAGCTGCTAAAGATGTGTTTCATTCATATATATCAAATGCATTTATAAATACATGTACCCACAACCACAAACACACACACATTAATAGATTTTTGCCAAATAATATCCATAACAAGATACCATGAACTTCTTCTCATACCTGTATGTATAAAGAATTCACAGGCACATTTTAAAAATTAGACTCATAATATTCAATAGTATGAGTATTCCCTATAATTTTCCTATAGATATTGTGTCCTGTCCATTTACACTCATTTTGCTAAATTGTTTATACAGTATATTGAAACTGATTACCTCTTTTCTACATATAAAAAGAGATTTCAATAAAGTGAGTTTGAATTATAGCCCTGAGTTCCATGAAGTAGTATTCTATTTTATATATCTATGTTTTTGTTGTTGAATATTTAGTGCACAGCATTTTAACATTAGAATCAGAATATCACTTATGCATTTTTTTAGATGGGGTCTTGCTTTGTTGCCCAGGCTGGTCTTGAACTCCTGGGCTCACGTAATCGTCCTGCATCAGCTTCTCAAATTGCTAGGATTACAGGTGTGATCTGTCCTTATGCATCTTTTTAACTTACTCTTTTTAACTTAATCCTCTTCTGAATTAATTCACATTTATTTAAATACCTGATGACAACAAAGGGTCTCATTATTTTATTTTACTAATTTTAAAAGAAATAGAGCAAAACAATACCAAATAAATAATACAACTTAAAAAAAATGAAAAAAAGTGATATTTTGGAGAATACGTAACAATTGACTGTCAAATAGAAAAAAACAACAAGCACAAACCTTAGACCCTTGCTGGCAATAATTCTAAGAACACACACACACACAAAAGACAACCTTACAATATTCTGTACAGTGTAAAGAGACTGAATATAGCATCAAATTCTTCCTCGATAAGACTAAAAGAAACTGTATAGTACAACAGAGTTTCAAAGTTTGAAGGTAAACAAAAATATGATAATTTTTAGACAACAAAGGATCCCTTATATGGAAAACAATCATTTTTGCATTTTGATATCAAGATCTCTAAATGCATTTTTCTCATATATATTTTTTCTCTATATTTTGACAAAGCGTTATTCCACTTCCCCACCCCTCCAATGAAAGTACAAGGACATGATAGAACATTTCATCTAGGATAGCAAATCTAAATATATTATACTTTTAACTGTAAGATAATTTAAAAACCAGAATTAACATAATGTATATAATCCCTTATAATATTAGGAACTTCAAGTCTAAAATTTCCAAAAAACCACAAATTTTAGAGGTTTAAGGTAAAGGGTAGGTACAAGCGCAAAAATGGTCACTCCTTAATTCCATGGGCAAGGAGAAATAGGTTTTATTTAAGCTGGGCATAGAAATAGACAAATAAGGAAAAAGAAACAAATGTTTAAATTCCCAGGTAACTAGGGCCCGCTCAGTCAATACAAAGTCATATTATAGAATTTACTTTGTATTAGGGCAAGTCATGGCAAGATAAAACATTAAAAATGATCTACAGAAAATTAAAAAGTATGTTGAATTTTATCAAAAGCCTTTCTGCATCTTTTGAGATAATTATGACTTTTTTATCTTTAGTTCTGTTTACATGATGAATCACATTTATTGATTTTCATATGTTGGACCAATCTTGCATCCTGGGGATGAAGACTATTCCATTGTGGTGGATAAGCTTCTTTGATGTGCTGCTGAATTCGGTTGGCCAGTATTTTGTTGAGGATTTTTGCATCGATGTTCATCTAAGATATGGGCCTGAAATTTTCATTTTTTGTTGTGTCTCTGCCAGATTTTGGTATCAGGATGATGCTGTCCTCATAGAATGAGTTAGGGAGGAGTTCCTTTCCAATTTTTTGGATAGTTTCAGTAGGAATAGTACTAGTTCATCTTTGTACCTCAGGTAGAATTCACCTGTGAATCTATCTGGTCCTGGGCTTTTTTTGGTTAGTAAGCTATTTATTACTGCCTCAATTTCAGAACTTGTTATTGGTCTATTCAGTGATTCAATTTCTTCTTGGTTCAATCTTGGGACAGTGTATGTGTCTAGGAATTTATCTATTTCTTATAGATTTTCTAGTTTATGTGCATAGAGGTCTTTATAATATTCTCTGATGGTTGTATTTCTGTGCAGTCAGTAGTAACTTCCCTTTTATCATTTCTAATTGTATGTATTTGAATCTTCTCTTTTTTCTTCTTGGTTAGTATAGCTAGTGGTCTGTCTTATCATTTTTTTTTCAAAAAATAAACTCTGGATTGTTTAATCTTTTGAATGTTTTTGTGTGTGTCTCAATTTCCTTCAGAAAAGACTTCTGATAAAATTCAACATCCCTTCATGTTAAAAACTCTCAATAAACTAGCTATTGAAGGAACATACCTCAAAACAATAAGAGCCATGTATGACAAAACCACAGCTAACATCATCATCAATGGGCAAAAGCTGGAAGCATTTCCCTTGAAAACTGCCATGAGCTAAAGTGCCCTCTCTCACCACTCCTATTTAACATAGTATTTAAAGTTCTGGGCAAGGCAATCAGGCAAGGCAAAGAAATAATAGAAAGAGAGGAAGCTAAATTATTCCTCTTTGTGGATGACATGATCCTATATCTACAATTAACCCCATTGTCTCAGCAGCTTCAAAGCTTCTTAAACTGATAAGCAACTTTAGCAAAATCTCAGGATTCAAAATCAATGTACAGAAATTGCCAGCATTCTGATACACCAACAGTCAAGCGGAGAGCCAAATCACTAATGAAGTCCCATTCACAATCGTCACAAAAAGAATAAAACACCTAGGAATATAGCTAACTAGGCAGGTGAAAGGTCTCTACAAGAAGAACTACAAAACATTGCTCAAAGAAATCACAGATGATACAAATAAATAGAAAAACATTCCATGCTCATGGATAGGAAGAATCAATATTGTGAAAACGGCCTCACTGCCCAGAGCTATTTATGGATTCAATGCTATTCCCGTTAAATTAACACTGACTTGCTTCACAGAACTAGAGAAAACTATTTTAAAATTCATTGGGAAGCAAAAAAGAGTCGAAATGGCCAGGGCAATCCTAAGCAAAAAGAGGCATCAAACTACCTGACTCAATCTATACTACAGGACTACAATAATCAAAACTGCATGGTACTGGTACAAGGACAGACACATAGACCTATGGAACAGAATAGAGAACCCAGACATAAGATCACACACCAACAACTATCTAATCTTCAACAAACTTGACAGAAACAAACAATAGGGAACGAATACTCTATTCAATAAATGGTGTTGAGGTAACTGGCTAGCCACATGCAGAAAATTGAAACTGAACCGCTTCCTTCCACCATACACAAAAATCAATATAAGATGGACTAAAGACTTAAAAGTAAAACCCAAAACTATAAAAACCTTGGAACACAACCTAGGCAATATCATTCAGGACATAGGCACTGGCAAATATTTCATGATGCAGATGCCAAAAGCAATAGAAACAAAAGCAAAAATTGACAAATGGGATATTATCAAAGAGCTTCTGTACAGCAAAAGAAGCTATCGACAGATTAAACAGACAAACTACAAAATGGGAGAAAATATTTGCAAACTATGTATCTGAAAAAGGTCTAATATCCAGCATTGCTAGGAACTTAAACAAATTTATGAGAAGAAAAAAAAATAAAAACAACCCCATTAAAAAGTGGGCAAATGACATGAACAAAAACTTTTCAAAAAAATACATACATGCAGGCAGCAATTATATGAAAAAAAAAAGCCTAACATCACTGATTATTAGAGAAATAAAAATCAAGACCACAATGAGATATCATCTCATACCAGTCAGAATAGCTATTACTAAGAAGTCAAAAAATAACAGATGCTAGCAAGGTTGTAGAGAAAAAAGAATGCTTACACACTGTTAGTGGGAAGGTTAATTAATTCAGCCATTGTGGAAGACAGTGTGGTAATTCCTCAAAGACCCAAAGACAGAAATCCCATTCAACCCAGCAATCCTATTTCTGGGAATATACCCAAAGGAATATAAGTCATTCTGTTATAAAGACACATGCAGGCATATGTGCACTGCAGCACTAGTCACAATAGCAAAGACATGGAATAAACCTAAATGTCCATCAAGGATAGACTAAATAAACAAATTGTGGTACCTATATACCATGGAATACTATGAACCCATAAAAAAGTATGAGATCATGTCCTTTGCCAGGACATTGATGGAGCTGGAGGCCATTATCCT